TACGCTCAGGTGTCATCATTGGGTCTCTGTCTATCTCTATGTAATGTAGGCAGAACATTGAGTGGTGGGAGGGGGACAGCAGGGTGCTGTACGCTCATAGACATTAATGGCAGCATGCATCTTTGGTGTCATCATTGGGTCTCTGTCTTTCTTCATGTAATGTAGGCAGACCATGGGTGGTGAGAGGGGGCCAGCTGGGTGCTGTACGCTCAGGTGTTATCATTGGACCTCTGTCTTTCTCTATGTAATGTAGGCAGACCATGGGTGGTGAGAGGGGGCCAGCTGGGTGCTGTACATAGACATTGATGGCAGCATGCATCCGTATAGCGGGTATACGCTGTTACTTTTGTAAATTCATGCATGCGTATGAAAATATGCCCCAAACACAGACTGTTTACCTTCAGGGAATACATTCATCCGCATGCGCAAGTTTATGAAAGTACCGCCGAACAGCTGCATACAGTCATTGAGCAGCACCATTGGCTTCCTGGTGTCCAAATTTTATGCGTACGCCCCTCATGAGCCCGTGTGCATTAGAGTTTAACTTTGCTAATGTAATTTGTACCTTCACAGATTTCCTGGAGTGCATTCTACAACGTCATTATTCACATCTACGCGTGACATCACAGCCAACCACGATTTCTTCAGCCATCAGCTCCAATGGGACACTCTTCATGTGGAAATTCATGACTTGAGATGAACATGTGATGTCTCTTTCCCCTATACAAATGATTAGATTTATCATGGCGATATACAATTTTCAATACATGGACTCTTTTGGTTGAGCGACGTCCTATCTTCCGATGCCCAGGCGGGTAGTTGTTTTCTACATTTAACCCTGCTTTGGGCAAGCAGAGCTAAATGTACAGCGGGGAAGCCCCCGCAACGCATTTGCAGAACTGAAGATCTCATAAGCATAGTCCCCCAACTTATACTGATGAGCCATATAACATAACAAGGGTGCTTAGATCTTCATATTGTGTATCCCTATATCACTTTATATACTCTGTTCAGGTAAAATAGACCCTAAATAGCTGTTTGTCTCGAGCCGCCTTTCCTTTGTATTTTCATTTTGGAGGAATGTAATGAAAACGTAATTTTGATAATAGCCATAAAGATAACATTTAATAAATCAGTCTCCGGTTCTTTGTTCTGCCAGATGCCCAACGCTATTGCCGAGCAAGTCTAGGAACACTTACCATATAACCGAATCGTAAACACAGAATTGAAAATCTAATTTTTACTCTCTCGTATTAGAATCCCTGGCTGTTCCCCTTAGATCTTCCAGAAATAACCCGATGCCAGCTGAAAGAAACGATATTATTCTGCAGTGCCGCATTAAAAGCCAATCAGGAATGAGACACCGCGCAAATGTGTCTGTACTGGCAGGATAATTTGATTATGATGTGCTTTTGTGCTTTACCTGTTTTTCAGATGCGTGACAGATGAGCCATATGCCTCGTATGTATCATTATGGAAGCCATTTCTGCTCTAGCCCAAGAACAGGTCTCATATGGTTAAGGCTTTATTGATCGTTAACCACAACATCAACCCAATATCAGTGGTGGCGTGACATTAATTCATTATATAAGCCTTGTAAAGGTGCCCATACACTGCACGATTATCGTACGATAATCGTATGCGATCGGGTTTTCGTACGATAATCGAGCAGTGTGAACGGAGACGTGCGACCGTTTCTACTGTACGGTCGCACGTCTTCTGTCGAACCAGCATGTTCGAAAACCAGCCGGGAATCGTACGATTCTCGGCTGGTTAGAACGGTGCTCGGAAGATAAATGCTGAACGGGCCGGTGTGCGCACGCGCACACTACCCGTTCAGCATTGCGGTCATCGGAAGCCCGCCCCTCAGGGGGGCGGGCTTGCGATGCTCGAGAGTGCGATCTGCCTGTCCAAGATAGGCAGATCGTACGTTTTTTTAATCCCTTTACAACCATCGCAAGACTAAAGTCTTGCGATGGTTGTAGAGTGTATGGCCACCTTTAGAGATACCGAGAAGGTTCTGAAAGATCTGTGAAGGTTCTCATTCATCCAGGTCATGCTATATGTCACAGTTCCTTGTACATTGATCCGGCGCCGGGTTTTTGCCCCCTGTCTGAGCTGCTCGGTTTCCTGCCAGTCCACCCTGAACCTAGGTGTTAAAAGGCTTGTGCACCTCTGCTTTAGGCCTGGTTCACACCTGGACGTTTTACAGCGCGTTCCTACGCGCTGTAAAACGCTCAACATGTGAGAACCAATGATTGCCTATGGGCATGGTTCCCACCTGGGCGTTTTACAGCGCTTAGGAACGCACTGAAAAACGCCCTATGCCATCCATTAGGATACAGCCGGATAGCCCTCGGAAACGCGTGTTTCTTTTACCGCAAATCGCGGTGAAAATGCGCGGCACGAAAAGTTCCGCCCTGTGCGTTCCCCTCTGCTGTTCCTGTGTGTCTTTTGTCTCTGTGGGTACACCTGTTGTGTGTTCCCTTCTGTTACCTACTCCTTGTGCCAAGCTGAGGCTCCCAGACCCGATTGGCATTCGGAATCCGAATTTCAGAATAGCATTCGGGAGCTCCTGAATGCCATTCGGGTCTGGGAGCCATATACATATATTACTGAAACTGAGGCTCCCAGACCCGAATGGCATTCGGGAGCTCCCGAATGCAATTTGGAAATTTAGATCCCGAAGGCAGCTGATGTACGGCTGATTTTAGCCGATGTATGGCAGAAGTCAGCCGTACAAGGCTGAAGTGAATACAGGTGAAACTCGAATAATTAGAATATCGTGCAAAGTTCATTTATTTCACTAATGCAACTTAAAAGGTGAAACGAATATATGAGAGAGACTCATTACATGCAAAGCAAGATAATTCAAGCCGTGATTTGTCATCATTGTGATGATTATGGCTTACAGCTCATGAAAACCCCAAGAACCCCAAATCCACAACCTCAAAAAAGTAGATAATTACATGCAATCAATAAAACAAGGATTGTACATAGAACAATATCAGACCTCTGAAAAGTACAAGCATGCATATGTACTTAGTACTTGGTTTGGGCCCCTTTTGCAGCACTTACTGCAATTACTTTTGCAAGATATTCTAATTATTTGAGTTTCACCTGTACTTCACTTTGGCTCGTTTTATTCACTCGGCTACCTTCGGCAGCTTTGTGAATAACCCCCTTAGATTCTGGGTGATTCAGAATATATGAATGGGGAACATTTTAGAGCTAGGAGGTCATCTAGGTGCACAAGGTGAAATTCAATTCACAAGTTTAATATCACAGTGCTTTGGCAAACAATGCCATTCAGTAATGGTTTACATCTACTTCACGGTATTTAGGAAGTACAAAAGAAGCACTACAGCCTGAAATACTGATAGTTGTTTCCTTACTGCAGGTACAGAGGTATATTTATTTATTTATTTTGCACGTACATAGGGCACCAACACATACAGTATGTACACAGTCCCTCCCCTAGGACCATCTACTGCCTTGGTTCTCAACTGGTGGGTGGCGATCCCATGTTCAGTGGGTCCACACATGCCTTACACTTTTCTAGGTGAGAGGCTCCTCTGCCTTCCCCTAGCGCAGCACTGTCAGTTCTCACGCCGAACAGCCATTCAGAATATGCTGCCCGGCGCCGAGTGTCAGCTTGAGGTGGGGTGGGCTGGGGTGGGCTCCTGTGGAGGAGGAAGGCTGGGCCCGGCGTCAGAAGCGGAGGAGGAAGCGGGCCTGACGATGGAGGAGGAGGTGAGGCCCGACGACAGAAGAGGAGGCGGGGCCCGGCGACTAGACATGTGCGATTCGTTTCGTTACGAATCGAAATTCGTACGAATTTTCCTGAAATTTGTAAATTCGGAAGCATACGAAATCTGAATTGCAGTTTCCGAATTATATCCGAAATACGAAATTCCGTTAACGAATTTCGGATCTACAGGAATTACAGGAACTAATATTACCCCTGTAAATGAGGTTGAACAACATGACAAGATTTTTTTTTAAATCCGAAATACGGATCCGCTGCTGCTGAGAGTTGCATTACAATACACAGGCAGGAAATACGAAATTCTGTTGACGTATTTTCGTTCCGTTACGAACATTCGTTATATTGAAGGTAAAAAGCAAAGTACATTTATATTGGAGTTGATGGAAGTTTTTCTTTTAATGCAAAATTCGGATACGGAATCCGTTAACGGATTTCGTATTTCGGATACAAAAACAACTACCACATAGACTCCAATATTAACAACGGTATTTTTGCTTTTTAACTTCATCATAACGAATGTTCGTAAAGTTACGAAAATGTGCCAAAACTAAGGAAAATCCGTATTTCGTACGAATCCGAATTGAGTTTCGGATACGAATGACAAAATAATGGATATTACGAAACGGAACGAAACAAATTTTTTGACGGCGCACAAGTCTACCGGCGACGGAAGATGAGGCGAGGCCCTGCAATGGAGGAGGCGGGGCCTGCCAGCAACCATGGAGGTGAACAGCGGATCAGGGCTGACAGGTAAGAGGTTCGCAGCCCACCTGAAACCCTGCAGAGCCCGCCATAGAGTCTATGGTGGGCTCTGCAGGGTCACTCTCAGGTGGGCTGTTTGGGATCTCAGGTGGGCTCTGCAAGGGCATAACTAGAAATCACAGGGCCCCATACAAAATTTTGCTATGGGGCCCTGTGATTGCTAGTTGCGCCCCTGACGTGACCGCACATACTCCAAGGCCATTCGGCTTAGAAACTAGCAACTCTACTAGACTTTTTGTACTGTTGATGGAACTCACGAACAAGAGGCAAACATGACAACATAACACAGACGTGGTTCCTGGTCATAACTGAATCGGGGGCCAACAAGTCATAATGTGCCCTACCATACCCATTTTAAAATATGCATAACCCAAGAAGACGTTACAACATGGCTAGACAGTTTAGGAGCCACCACTTCCCTTGGCTATAGGCACTATAAACATAACAGTGTTACAATGTAACTCTCCTGACAGGTAGGAGAATGCATATCAGCATCACTAAACAAATAAAAGATTAATTTCTAGAACTATATATCTGGCTGTCGGAAATCTGTGACTGTCCCATGTTAATGCTTTCCTTGTCCATGATTTTTTGTAGAGCTGGGTTAGGTTGGCAAATGTGTAGCTTCATCAAGCAACACTTGCATGAGTGCTGGACAGCGGTGGAGGAGAAGTAGAAGATGATAGGGTCCAAGCTAGCATTAAAAGTACTCAGAAGCAAGGCCTTCTCTCTCCATTTGAGGTTCTCCTTCTGAACAAATCCCACCACATGGGAGACGTTGTAGGGGGCGAAACACACAGCAAACACGCCTAGGGTGGCGAGGACCAGCCCGATGGCTCGTTGCTTCTTCACGCGTTGGATGTGCATCGAAGAGATGAGGATCTTGATGAAACTTCCATAACAGAAACAGGTGATGAGGAAAGGAAAGCAGAACAAGAGGAGTCCCAACTCAAGACGGAATGGGAGAAGGACTTCCATTTGCTCCTTCGTAAAGTTGTCATAGCAGGTGAGTCTGTTGCTGGCGTTGGAAGTCTGCTGGTACTCCGTCACGTAGACAATGCTACAGTGAGCAAACGAGCAGATCCACAGGAATCCACTAACCGCGGCAGCATAGCTAGGCTTGCGATAGAGTTTGTACTTGAGGGGAAAGGCCACGCCGAGGTACCTTTCCACACTGACCGCGGTGAGGAACAAAGTGCTGGAGTAGATGGTGCTGAAATAGAAGAGTCCAGTAAGTGGGCAGAGGAATGATGGCATGGACCATTGACCTTGTAGTATCTCTGTGACCTTGAAAGGCAAGAAAACCAAGAATGATAGGTCGGATATCGTCAGATTGAAGAGCAGGATGGCGTTCGGCGTGGCCTTCACCCGCAGCTTACGAATGAAAGCGTGCAGTGCAAGAAGGTTGGCTGGAAAGCCTGTCAGAATAGTTATAATGTATATAGAGAGATATAGATATTTCTCTTCCGGTGCTGGTGCCATTGTGTCTTCATGACCCCTAGGAACAAAACAGACAAGAAATGAAGTTAGCAAGGTTCACGCAATGAGGCCACACAGTTATGCCAAGAATGGCTCAAGGTGCCCACCAAATGTTTGAAAACCAAGTTCTCCCCCTTAGTTATCTCCATTGCCATTGCACAACGGCCTTCGATGCCCGAGGCCACAAGGAATGGATGAGTTGATGGGCAGTAAAGGTGCTTATGGACGTTAAACAACATGTTCTCAATGGACATTTTTTGGTAGGCTATGGGAACGTTCTTCCATGTGAAGGAGAAGAGAGTGTAGAGCAGTGGTTCTCAACCTGTGTAACCTCAGGACCCACATTTGTCCTTGGCCATTAAAGTAGAACTAAGTGTTTTTCCCCATAGTTCTCCTAAGGGTCACCATATACTAGCGTCCTTCCGTGACCCAAAGCTCAGTATATAGCGGGCTACAGCTCGCAGTATACTAAGACCGCCGCAGCCGGGATGGATCACAACATTACTGTCGGGATCCACCCAGCTGCTTGAGTGACAGCTGGCTCTGCCTATCTAGAGGCAGAGCCAGCTGTACCCGCCCCCTCCCCCGTCTGTTCTGCCAGTCAGCGCTGGAGGAACGGGGAGGGGGGGAATCCCTGCAGGGAGCCGTGACTGACAGTCACGGCTCTCTGCAGGGACATGATCGAGAAGTGAGCGAGCGACGGTATGTGTTCGCTCACTTCCCGATCTATTAAACCGACGTGTGACAGTTTCATTGCCACACGTCGGCTCGAACTATGAGGCTGAGTGAAAATCACTCACCTCATAGTTCTCTTTTAAGTCACGACCCAAGTCTGCACTGCAATGCAACGCACAGCATTAGGGTACCGCACGCTCCGGTGCGGGCGATTGAACTGTGGATGGGAGGTGCATTTGGTGTACCATTCAAATGAATGGCAACGCAACACACCTCCCACGCCAAAATGCGCGGTAGGTGCGATTGCGTGGTACAGTTAACACACTGTACTAGTGGAACGAGCCCTCAAAAACACTGACATACATACCTACGCAGACACAATCTCACAGACGTTCTCACACACACACACACACACACATACATAAGGTCCACCCGGTCTCCCAACCTTACGAGAACTGGAGTGGATCTTCAGCTTGGGGTCTGTGACGGAGCGCCATCCATATGTGCATTGCTGGTACAGATCCCTTGCACGCCCTGTAGAGGGGCCGGGAGCCAGAATGTGACGTCACTCCGGTTCAGGCACCTCTACAGGACACATGAGGGAGCTGTAAGCAATGCACGTATGGATGGAGCTCCCTCACATCCATTACCCCAGCCCACCCCACCCCACCTCAAGCTGACACTCGGCAACGGGAAGCATATTTTGAATGGCTGCTCGGCATGAGCACTGACAGTGCTGCGCAAGGGGGAGGCTGAGGAGCATCTCACCAGAAAAGCGGAAGGCGTGCGGCGACCAACTGAACATGGGGTCACGACCCACTTTTGGGTCACGGCCCACCAGTTGAGAACCAAGGGTCTAGAGGATCTGACTGAAGGCGCCTCCACAAGGACACTGGCCGAATCTACTCTACTACTACTCTACTCTGTGCGTGGCAGAGCGGGGGATCGGTAACTATCAGTGATACTTACTACGTGTCGCAACTTTTTCCTATTGGGCTGTATGCAATTAGGAGCAATATCGCTCAAAATCGCTCGAAAAAAGGGTCATGTAGGAGCGACAAGCTACCAGCGACGAGCTACAAGCGATATTGAGCAATATTGAGCGATATTGAGCGACGAGATGTGAACAGCTCCATTGAAATGGATTGGAGAAGCTACATAGAGCGATATCGCGCGGAAATATGAGCGATATCGCTGCAAATAAATCGCTCAGTGTGAATGGGGCCTTAATGGTGCGGATATAGGGGGAAATGGGTGTGGCCACTGAAGGGCGCTGCAAAGCTTTCTCGCACAGGGCGCCTAAAGGCCTAAGGCCGGCCTTGGCCACAGGCATGACTCTCAGAGGCACAGGTAATAACTGGCAGCAGGGATTCTTCTATCCAGGGAAGGTTAGGCAGCCTCGGCACTCCATCTGCAGTGAAACTACAAATTCCATCATGTCTCTGCCTCTGGTAGTCATGACTGTGGCTGTCAGTCTTGCAGTGCATCATGGGACTTGTAGTTCCACAACAGTTGGAGTGCCAAGGTTACTTGGATAGAGGATAACCTGCTGCCAGCTATTGCCACTGGGAGTCATGCCTGTGGTAGTCAGAGTCTTGCAATGCCTCATGGGACTTGTAGTTCCACACCAGTTGGAGTGCCAAGGTTACTTGGATAGAGGATAACCTGCTGCCAGCTATTGCCACTGGGAGTCATGCCTGTGGTAGTCAGAGTCTTGCAATGCCTCATCGGACTTGTAGTTCCACACCAGTTGGAGTGCCAAGGTTACTTGGATAGAGGATAACCTGCTGCCAGCTATTGCCACTGGGAGTCATGCCTGTGGTAGTCAGAGTCTTGCAATGCCTCATCGGACTTGTAGTTCCACACCAGTTGGAGTGCCAAGGTTACTTGGATAGAGGATAACCTGCTGCCAGCTATTGCCACTGGGAGTCATGCCTGTGGTAGTCAGAGTCTTGCAATGCCTCATCGGACTTGTAGTTCCACACCAGTTGGAGTGCCAAGGTTACTTGGATAGAGGATAACCTGCTGCCAGCTATTGCCACTGGGAGTCATGCCTGTGGTAGTCAGAGTCTTGCAATGCCTCATCGGACTTGTAGTTCCACACCAGTTGGAGTGCCAAGGTTACTTGGATAGAGGATAACCTGCTGCCAGCTATTGCCACTGGGAGTCATGCCTGTGGTAGTCAGAGTCTTGCAATGCCTCATCGGACTTGTAGTTCCACAACAGCTGGAGTGCCGAGGTTGCCCATGTATTATTTTACCTGCTGGTGAATTCTGGTACTACACCCTCTCTGGTCACCTCTAATGAGCATTATCGCATTATGTTCTCCATACTGCTGGTGACCTGGTATTCCATAGAAAGCTCCAACTCATCGAGATCTCCAACTACCTCACTTACGGTGCTAAGAAAGCCTGGAGCTCTGCACAGTTGCGATGCGCGCGTAGCGTTTTTAGCATACCTGTCGAGATTGCCACCTGCTGAATATTGTTAAATTGCAGCCGTACAGAAGCTCCGTCAGTCTTTGTGTTTTGCAGTCTTAACGCCGCCTGGTCGAAATTCTCCAACTTGCAAGTACCCGGCAGTGAGGTAGTTGGAGATTTCGACGAGTTGGAGCTTTCGATGAACAATGGAATAAGCCTGGAGATGGTAGATCTGCACATCAGCGGCTGCGCACCTCTTTTGAGCGTGCCAATGGAAGGACTACCAACGTCAGAAGCAACCCAGGTCCTCCTTTTATGACAGGTCCACTTTAATCTCACGGATCCCCACCCGAACCTTCCAGGATGTTCACAGTAACGCCGATGGTGGAGGCACACAATGGATTGAAGTGTATAAGCCCGGCCAGGTCCTGGGGGGGCCATCAGAATCAGTAATAAAGGTTCTCAGTGGAGATTCCCTTCCTCTGGATGATTCCGCTCTTTGTGTATCAGGCTGTCTGGTGACGGCACAGACCCGAATCGCGTCCTGGAATTCTGCCGTTCTGACTTTGCAGCGGACTCGTGTCCCCTTGCATACTCGGCAGGCTGCTGTGCGTATCTGGGCCAGCATTGTATTCTCATCATTTCTCACCATTCAAATCATTTTTTTCTATTGAAGGGAATGCCGATCCCTATTGTTGGGGGACAATTGCTGTAATTATGACCTCACTCCCGCACTACAGATATAAATGACAGGACCGGCAACATGGTATCAAAGCCAGCTCAGGTCTATTGCAATATCATGAAATCCACAGCTTTCGATAAAATAATCCTTGGTGATCCTGCCATGGAGGTCCTTGATCAGGCGCTTCCTGTTATAGCGTGACAACATTATGTCCCTGTCTCCCAACTGTACTCCTGTGTTGTCACCAGGGGCGTAACAATAGCCATAGCAGCTCATGCACCTGCTATGGGGCTTGGGGGTGGAAGGGGGCCCCCCATGAAGGATTGCTGAAATTGCTGTTGACCCTGTACCCCTTATGACATTTCCAATCAAGAAGAGTTGATATCAGATGTACAAGAAGAGGCTCTGCAGACAACTCTCCTGCTACCTGTCCTTGATTTAGATTTTAAGGGTTTGCCATGGGGCCCTATTAAAATTTTGCTATGGGGCCCCATGATCTGTAGTTATGTCCCTGGTTGTCACCCTGTCACACAGGCTTCCAATGGTGACTACAAGTGGCTGTTTCAATTCACATTACCCAGTCATGGTCCACTGTTGTCATCTTCAGGAAATCTGCTCTGAAGAAATACCATGCGCTTCCTGTTATAGGTTACAACGTTCTGTCCCCGTCTCCTAACTGTACTCCTGTGTTGTCACCCTGTCACACAGGCTTCCAGTGGTGACTACAAGTGGCCGTTTAAATTCACATTACCCAGTCATGGTCCACTGTTGTCATCAATTGATATGCAAATTCTGCACCTCCTTGCTGGTCAGTGTATATACCTCCGTTACATTGCTGGTCAGTGTATATACCTCCGTTACATTGCTGGTCAGTGTATATACCTCCGTTACATTGCTGGCCAGTGTATATACCACCGTTACATTGCTGGTCAGTGTATATACCTCCAATACATTGCTAGTCAGTGTATATACCTCCTGCACCTCCTTGCTGGTCAGTGTATATCCCTCCGTTACATTGCTGGTCAGTGTATATACCTCCGTTACATTGCTGGTCAGTGTATATACCTCCGTTACATTGCTGGCCAGTGTATATACCACCGTTACATTGCTGGTCAGTGTATATACCTCCAATACATTGCTAGTCAGTGTATATACCTCCAATACATTGCTAGTCAGTGTATATACCTCTGTTACATTGCTGGTTAGAGTATATACCTCCATTACAT